AAAGCCTGATACGGTGGACTACTCACTTTCTAAATGATCCCAAAGAGAAAATATATCGATATGGAATATTGGCGCAGCCGTAATTGTGAGTGTGTGTAAAATGGAAACGATGGCATCGATTCCACTGCAAATATGAACACACTACAAAATTGGCTCTGTGCTCCATTCCAGCTGTGAGGAAGCATGTCCACTTCACACGCATGCACAATTTTGCTCCATTTATAAAATTGAATCCACACTTCAAAAAACATTTGTGGTACATGGCAATCCAGCTACGGCTCAGTTAGCACTGTCATCTGTAAACATTGAGGGCATCGACCCCGTGTCTTAGTAACACTGTTTTCAGGTGAATCAACTTTGTCTGAGACACACCTCCCGTGCAGCCATGGAGTTTGCAAACCCTACGGTATGTAAACTGATGAGCATAACTGTCATAACCACGGGCATGAGCTAAGTTTTTTTTGTGGAACCTTTAAACTCAGTTATAGCAGCGCTAACGGGCTAAATGAATCCTGAACTTGTGACTACAACCTAAAGAGAACAGGAGTCCATTGGCCAATCATCGGTGCATTCTGCCAGTAGTCTGCTAGCGGGAATTTCCAGGATCCCAAACATTGCATGTATTTGGACCACGAAAGGAAAATTGCAATGATGACAATAGAACGGGAAAATAAATGTCTGTCCTGGTTGCTCAATGTCATACGGCCAAAGTGACTGTAAATTGACATTAGAAATGACATAAGTAGGCTGCGCTGCATTGACGCACCTCCGAAGCACAAGCAAGAATCTTTCTCTTTGCGTATTTATCGCCATGTTGTCATCTGCTTACAAAGCTATGGGTGAGTTGAGTGCACAATTCAGTGTTTTGGAGTTTTTGGTGAACGGCAGTTAACTTTACGCGATTTACATGAATATGGCACGAAGAATGTCGAAAAGTGAGATGCATAAAATTGACAGGATTGTTACATTACATATGATGTAATTGTTTCTTTGTATGGTGAGTAAAAATGATAAAATGTTACTTCAAGAGGACTGATTCAATTGCCATTTATTTCCATACAATATTTTTTCTTCATTAAGATCTTCCTGGAACGTACAAGTTAAACACGTATTTTCCAAATTTTATTTGATAAATTAGCATTTGACTCTCAGGACTTGCAATTGCTATTCTTAAGATGACTATTCAATCACAAATGTTTTCTGCTTGATTTTCAGTTTATATCGGAGATCGTAAAAGGCAACATTGCTAGAGCTGCTAGTGGGGAAAATCACGAGAAAGTCCAAATACGACATTAACTGCGGATGGAACGGAGGTAGAGACGTGCCAGGAGTGATGCCACAGTGAGGAATTTCCCTCGTCCTGAAAAATGCATCCATCAACCAGGTTGACAGGCTAGTGCAAAGATGCGAATTTCATCTCTCCTGGCAACCTCTTCATGTTTCTGTTTGCGAGATGCCGCTTTTCAGATTCAAAACACTACACAGTAAGTATCTCCGCTTTCACGATAGTAGTTTTAAAACAGCCAACAGATGATCAACTGAATGACGTCCTTTTTCCACAAATTCACCTTTGCTTTGCCATGGGGGCTTACATTTGTGATGGATAAAATCAATGTGCGATAGACATCCCATAAAGAGTTTGAATAAAAATTGCACGTTGAGGCTGGGCTTTCCCAAACTGTTTTAGCTCAAGACACAAACTGGCAAAAAAAAAAAAAAAAAAAGCTTAAGATGTTGCTTCTGTTGTGCACGCCCTTGGCTTGCGCTGGGTACACGCGTGACTTCTCTCATCTCGAAACGACACGATTGATTTATGACCTTGCTACATGCAACCAGTGGGGAACAAGCTTGCTTGTCACATAGTGTACACTCGTTTAACTTCTATTTCAAGTTATGTCACGTGGATGTGTCGCGGTTGCTAACCTGTGTGTCGCACCGGCAGCGCTCTCAACACTTTGGCAATGCCGTTTAAGTGAGGAGGCTTCTTTATATCACGGCCAGGCGGATTTATTTTGGAGCATCTTTCGACTTGATTCTCCAGTCCAAATAAGCTATGTAGACAAAGGCACTGCTCTGTCTCTGATTCTCTGCCTGCAGGAGAGCTGTGCACAGCGGAGGAGACGTGTCGAACTGCATCGTTACTTCAAAAAAAAATGGACATTGTGAAAAATAAAACTAAGCTACTATTTGTTGGATTTGGCAAGATATCTGCTCATTTGGATTTTTGTAGCTTTGTGACCTTAAAATATTCAGAAAATTCCTTTTTCACCCGGATCAGCTGAAAATCACATGATTGACCCTGATTTCCGATCATGTGAACGGATCGGGACATCCCTACAGACATTTGGAACAATGAAAATATGGCATGCTAAAAAAAAAAAACAGCAGCCAGTACATCATAAGTATGACAAAATCAGCTTGTACTCACATCATTGGCTTAAATAACATACATTTCCTGTTTCGGTGGAGGATGACTATTGATTTGGAAGAAGTGAGACAACATTTGTCAATTCGCCTTGTTAAAAAAAAAAAAAAAAGACAAAATATTCTGCAATACCAAATGAGGACTGACTCCAGCTCTAGTTTAATTCCTGCTATCGAACAAGAGGTTTAATCAATAAGACACAATGGATCATCTGCAAATATCCTCTGCACATCAGCATGAATATAAAACAACCTGACGGCGCTCCCTCAGCCTAGAGCCAAGGAGGTATCAATAAAGTGTTTCACTTTGCAAACAAAGACTCGTTAGTTTCTAGTATAAATCTTGTGCCTTTCTACGTGTTTCTGTCCAAACAAGAGTAAAAAAAAAAACAAGCAGTAACTTGTGGACAGCAAGCAGTGCAAAGTTCCTCCCGATGCCTCGTGATAAATTTAGGCATCACAAATCATTTACAGCACCTCAGCCATGGTCGTTTCCTTTCAGTAAAACCTTGAGCAGTCTGTACCAGCAGCTGTATTTCAATTTATGTTTTTTCGTTAGCACGTGAATTGCCTCAGTGGGTGGTTTACTGGGCTGAAAATCATCAAAAGATTGTGTTCTTTGGCTATGGTGACATTCTTTCACAAACAGTGTCTTATGTAGGGATTCTTTACATTCCACACCTCCCTGAAACCTCAGGCCAAAAGGGGCCACTTAATGTAAGATGCTTATTTGATTTTAGTTGAAATCTTAAATCTAAATTCAAAGTCATTCACACTGTTAGGTAGTTTAAACATGTGGGGAGCAAGGTTTTTTTTTTTTCATGTCATCGCCAATTACTGGTCTAGCTTGGATATGACAACATAGGCATGGGCATAATAATAGATGATTCAATTAATTAACTGTCAAACAAGTCCTTTGATTGTATTTTATTGTGTCTTGAAGCAATTGGTGCAAGATGGAGACTCGATAATGTACTGTGTCGCAAAAGTGTGCCTCGTTAGGAAGACTTCAAAAAGAAAGTCTTTCCTGTGAGTCAAATTATGCCAGCAGTAAGCGGCACCCCCTTCGGAAAAGGCCTCAAGACCCTTCCGTCTCCAGCGTGACAGAAGAAGGAACTTTTGAGGAGCTCCTACTGGGATCTTCGTTTGTAAATCAGCATGCAAAGCAGTGTTTTGTTTTTGGTTGGGTTTTTTTTTTGTTTGATGGATTGCTCAAATCATGCTCCTTACAAACAAACCTCCACACCAAAAATAGCTGTGGTTACAAGGGTGTTGCCATTAAATAGGCTTGAGTGAGTCATAAGAGGCTGAAAACAATGTGTGGTTAATATAAAAGAATATCTTGAGATCTTGCATGCAAGTGTGTGTGTGACTTTGGTGTGCGTATTAAGATGGAGTTACAATGCGTGGTTGTGATACAATCGTGATATATATATATATATATATATATATATTATTTATTTATTTATTTATTTGCTCTCAAGTGAAATCAGCCCTCTTCCAAATGTAGCTAATAATCACCTATGTAACATCTCTGGAAATGCCAGTGCATCCAATTGGTAAGGCGTACACACCTACATTTGCAGAAACAATACAAATGAAAATATTATTTTAGAAAAAACAGCTGTCAATGTTCACTACAACAAAAGCATCGACAACTTAATATGGTCTAAATATGCTTCATTAGAGGCATGTCTGTAAATCATAAAAGGAACATACTGTTCAAAATGTATTCATCTCTCCTGGCTGCCGTCAGCAATCATTTAGCTTATTTAAAAGAACACATGACTCAAAATTCATTTTTGGCCATTCAATTAGGCAGTTTGTTTGAACCAAAGTATGTCACTAGACATGCCAAAAACAGTCAAATTGAAGAGATGGGGGCGGGGGGGGGGGGTTCAACGCTGTACTGTATCTTCACAATTGAGTATTATCGTTCACATAATTTTAACATCTTTTCAGCAAACACAAACTATGCGTTTAGAAACACGTCTGAATTCACTTCATTGGGTTAAATATTTTTGCAAACTGTAATAATATGATGATCGATGCTGCCCGCAAAGAAAACGGGTCTGACGCCCCCCTGCACTACATCGCCAGTGACAACAAAGGTACGTACAGTACATGCAAACAGACAAAATGGTTAGAGGCAACTGACAGAGCAAGAAAACATGAAAGCATGAAAGTCAGCCCGGCTTTTTAAACTACTGCATCATAAACCATAGCCTGCAGACCTGGACTTAACTACTCGTAAAAGTGTTCAAAAGCAAACTTAAAGAGTTCCTGATGGTCCCAGACAAAACTAACAGGCTACTGTGTGTAAAAAAAAAATCATCATGTCAGTGCCACTTATAGATGATTAAGATGAGGTTCAACGCGTGAGAAAATAAAAGTCACATTGTAATCCTCGTTTAACTGCTCAGGTCAGACAAGTTAACAGCTGTTAAACTTGTCCAATTCTAAACTGGGCTGGCTTCCAGCGGCATGGACCACTTTCAAAAGCTGTCAACGTAGCACGGGGGAGAAACATTTGCAAGTTTAATCAATGCTGAACAGTTTCAAGACCGGGGACTCACCTGCGGCTCGCTTGCTTGTTTCAGTCCAACTCAGTTTGGAGTTTAAAATAAAACCAAGAAATACGCGGAAATAACCAAATGAATGGTCGCTATAGTAGTGCGAGCTTTACTGGAAAAAAAGAAAAAAAAGAAAAGCACGTTTCCTGAACACCTGAGCCAGCCAGCAAATTACTCTTACAACATTTCGCGCTTGACTACCAACTTAAAGATGGTGAACGAAACCGGAGGAAAAGTTACGTCACTACATCGGTAAAAACGACAAAAAAAAAAAAAAAAACCC